AAATAAATAAGGAAGAGGAAAAAATGAAAATTCAATTTTTAATTTTTTAAATAAAACCGGAAACGATTCGACTTTTTTTTGGGGGCGGGAAGGAAGGAAGGCAGGAGAAGAGAGGGCGGGGAAAGAAAGTGAAAAAAAGGAAGGAAAGACTTTTTATCAAGGTTGATAACAGTTTTATTATTATTATTATTTTTTGAAATTACTTCATTATAATTTAAAATTTTTTTTTTTTTTTCGTTGAAAATTTCAATTTAAAAGACATTAAAAGTTTATAATTACAAAAAAAAGTAAAATTTTTTCTTTTTTTTTAAATATATAAAAGATTTAAATTTTTGGAAAATTTGAAAAATTTTAAAAAAAAAAGAAAAATTTTCCACCTGCTCCTTTTCTTAATTGCTTACAACGTTTCCTTTTCCTTTCCTTTCCTTTCCTTTCTATTCCTTTTCCCTTTCTTTTTTTTCAAACGGAAAAATTAAGTAAAACGAAATAAAATTGAAATAAATTTTTCTTTTTTTTTTATTTCCTGTTTCGTTCTTTTATCATTATTATTATTATTATTCTGTTTCGAAAGTATTTAATCCTTTATTTAAATAACAATAATAATAATAATACGGATAAAGAAAATGATTTCGAATGGATTATTTTCACTTTTCGATCGAGCCTTTCGATTCGGAAAAGGTTAATTTTCGGTCGTTAAGGAAATTTTTTGTTTAAAAAAAAAATTGTTATGTTCTTCGTGAAAAAAACACGCGTGCGCACGTGCGTGCGTTTGCATAAGTGCGCGTAAGAAAATCATCATACATACAGTACCGGAAGTGAGTTTTTTTTTTCCGTGCAGAAAAGCTTTTGGAAAAATGTTTCGAAACAAAACAACATATCATTTATCATTCGATATTAAAAATACGTTCGCATCCTTTTTTTTTTTTTTGATAAACCGGGAAGGGGGTGGTAATAACGGGAAAGTAAAAGTGAGTAAAAGTGAGAGGAAGGGGAGGGGAGGAAAACGGAGGAAAATTTAATAAACGTTCGAAAACAATAAATAAACGTACAAAAAATCAAATAATTCTACCAATGTTTACGTTTTTATAATTTGAGAATGTATTTCAAAATCCATCATTATTATTATTACTATTAATAAATTTTTGTTTTTTTTTTTAAATATGTACGAAACGCGTTTGTTTGTTGTTTGTTTGTTTGTTGAGTAACGACATCAACATCAAAAAAAAAAAAATCATTATAATTTCAATTTTGAATTTCGTTCATCGTCTCGCACATGCGACGCACGTTTTTAAATAACAATTCTTTGATTTTTATTTATAAAAGAAAAAAAAAATTTCCAACAAATTGCATGAATAATAATGATGATGATGATGATGATAATGATAATGATGATGATGATAAATAATAATTTTAAGTAGACTTTCGAGCATAGTAGGAATTCTCAAAAAACAAAATTTATTTTTATCCCTAAATCAAATGACCTGAATTATTATTTTAAAACCGTATCGTTTATGACGTCATCACAGTTCTGTTCGTTCTTCTTTTTCTTTTTTTCTTCAGGTTTAAACCATTAAAAACGTTTCCGTTTCCGTTTTTTAACAAAAAATAAAAATAGTTTGAAGAGAAAATAGATATTGCGTGTGCGGGCGCGCGCGTGTGTGTGTGTGGAAGGGTAGGTTTAATAAAATTATGTGAAAAAATTATTATTATTTTCTCACTCTTTGAATAACCATCCCCCACCTCTCCCCCCTCAAAAAAAAAAAAAACAAGAAAAAAGGAAGAGAAAAAATGGTCGTAAGTTATGGTTTCACTTTAACTTTTTAAGAAAATAAATAAAAAAAAAAAAAAAGTTAAGTGACTTTTTTTGTATATATATATATATATTTATTTTTCTTATCATAGTTTGTAACACCAAATATAAATGATTTCTGAAGAAAAGTGACAGCGGTAAACAATTTTGTTCAGTAAAAAACTTTTCCCTTTAAAAAAAAAAAAAAAAAAAATCTGAACGATCACGTCACGGATTACTTTTGCCATTTTGTTTCAAAAAAATAAGATAAATTTTTTTTTTTTTTTTCCAAGAAAAAATTATTATTAAGATTCAAGAACCTGTACTTAAAGATAAACCTTTTGTGCTGCTCCTGCTTCTACTCCTGCTGCTTGCTGCTGCTGTTGTTGTTCCTCTTGTTTATATCCTTTTCTTAAAGATTAAATCCTTCTTTTACCCCTTTTCCCCACACGTTTTTTTCGTCTCACGATTATCCTTTCCTCCCCTCTCCCCCCACCCCTACACACACTCTCTCGTCCCCAATTTAAAAAAAATAAATCCGGCGTAATAATAAAGTGGAAAACCTTTTTTTCTTTTTTTTTTTGCCGGATACCAGTTTTTGAATTTATAGAATTTATAGGACTCCGATAATGCGGAAATAGCTTTAGGCTGATGTATGACTACGACTATCGTTTGTTGTTTGTTGTTTGTTGTTTGTTTGTTGTCATAGAAAACCTCGTTTTAAAAAAATATTATTATTATTATAAATATTACACGAAACAACGAACGAACGAACGAACGAACCATGTTTTTGACACTTTTCTTCACGTTTCCCTCTTCCTTTTTTGCCCCGGCCTCCTCTCCCGGGTAACCCCCTACCCCTATTTCATTTTTTCCCATCTTGAAATTTTAATTTTACGTTTTTGTAATTAAACGATGGCGGCGGTTTAGGATAACGGGAGGAGGGAAAATGTAAGGAAGGAGTGGGAAGGGCTCACATTTAATGATTGACGTCTCGTTGACTTTCGTAAACCAAAAAAAAATAACAAACTAACAAACAAAGAAACAAACAAACACGCGCCCACAACGCACAACGCACACGCACATGCACACAACACTAAAGACTGCGTTTGACGAATTTGATTGAAATGCATTATTAAACATTTGACGAGGAAAATTAATTACGAGTAAGGAAAAGTGGAAAATCCGGCGTTGCACGGCGTCAGGGAAAAAAAAGAAAAAAGGATGGAATGGGACGAACCGGGAGGAAAGTGAGGCGGGGGGATAAGGGGAATCGGTGTGAGGAATTCACATTTCACATAAAAAAAAAAATTTCCAATTAACCCAGTTTTGTAAAATTATTATTTACCCGTGGCGTATCCCTTCTTCTTCTACTACCTAATTATAAATAAGTTAATAATTGGTCGGATCCGTTAAAAAAAATGATTTTTTCTTTTTTTTTTAAATAATAATTTGACGATATCGTGAGATTTGAGCATTATGTCTCTTCTCTTTTCCACAGAATGCGAATGTTAATAATAATAATAATAATAAATCATTAAAAATAATAATAATAATAAAGGAACAAAAAATGCGTATATTGCCAACCAACTTTCCACGTATTTTTTTTTTTATCTGCTTAAGCATTTCATTTTATTAACTTTTTTTTTTTTGCTGCTACAAATATAATAATGTTGTAAGGTTTTATAACTTGAAGCGAAATAACTTTTTTTTTTTTTGAAGCAAAAGCCTTTTTAACTTTTTTCGTAAAAACTTGTTGCTGCCGACTGATTTTTTTTTTGCTGCCCCACACACACACGCACGCACGACTTTTTTTCTTCTTTTTGAGGTTTCAAAAAAAAAACGATCATTAAAAATTGTTTAAAGTGTGTTTTGAGTTGTCGTATATAAACGACCGCAAAAAATAGAAAAGATTATCAATAATATAAATATATATAAAAAAAACAGAGAGTCATTATAACAAATTAGACATAAATAAATTATTAACCAGACTAATAAGTATTTCATTCGAAGTCGTTAATAAAAGCAAAATAAAAAAATAAAATAAAAGCAGACAAATTAATAATAATAATTTTTAAAAATGATAATAATAATAATAATACTTTTCTTTTTTCCGCGTGTAACATTTCGTTGTATTATTTTTGACATTTGTGTGTTTTTCGAAATTTTTTCTTTTTTTTTTTTTTTTTTGGATTTCTCCCAAAAAATTATTTCACGTTATTTTTTCCAAAAAAAAAAAAATTTTTTTTTTTTTCTGACACAAAAACGACACAAATAGTCGTAAAAATAGTCCGGAATGTTTTCGAAAATAAAGAAAGAAAAAGAAAGGAAGGAAAACAAGGGAAAAGGAAGAGAAGAAAATGGAAAAAAAAATTTTAACTAATTGGAAAAATTAATAAATTTTTCTTTTTTTTCTTTTTTGTAGAAAAATAAAATTTTTTTGGAAAATTAAATTTTTATAATTTTTTTTTACTTTTTTTTTTAAGTATACAAGAAAAAAATGATGCCATTGATTTTGCCTAACTTTTTTTTTTTTTTTTTGATAACAAAAATTAAATAAAATGATAAAAATAATATGTGAAACCCTCCCCCTTTTCTCCGCCCAGTTAAAAAAAAAAAATTTGAGCAAAGTTGAAATTTTTTTAATAAAGAAGTTTTAGTTGGCATCTGCGTGCATACGGATTTAAAATTTTCACGTTGAAAATATTATTATTATTATTAATATAAAATGTGTATACCAACTTAAAATATTACGGCTTAACTTATAAAGAGGTGAGATTAAACTAACTAATTTTTTTTTTCCTTTCTTTTCTTTTTTTTCATTTCTCTCTCTCTCTCTCTCTCTCACTTTTCTATTCACATCTACTTTTAACCTTCCACTCCCTTCATCCCCCATGCTTTCTCCGGGAAAATATTATAATAGGATTAAAAAAAACTCAATAAAAATGCGTTTTATATCCGATTTACCTACGTAAAAGTATAAATAAGCCTTTTTCATAATTACGACGATGATTAAATAAATAAATAAATAAATAATAATAATAATGATAATAATAATGATAATAATAATAAAAAAAAACTAGACGGAGAGATTTTTCATTTCACTCATTTTTTTAAAAGAGAAATCAAAAAGCTGCAATTTTTTTAGAATTTTCTTTTTTTTTACATTTTTTTTTTTTTTAAATAATGATGAGATGAAAATTTGATACGGATGCTGTCTGTGAGAAAAAAAAAATCCGTCGACGATGACAACGACAATGACGACGAGAGATTTTTCGCACTGACGGTAAAAATTCAACGTAAAACAATTATAATGATAAAGTTTTATTATTAATATCTTTTGTTATTAGACGGCGGGGTCGGTGGGCGGAGAAACTAAAAGCGCTGATGAGGTGATAGGAGGAGGGTGAGTGAAAAGAGGCGGAGACGGACAAGGAGAAGGAGGAGTATGAGTATGAGGAGGAGGAGTAAAAGAAAAATGGGATGGGTTAAAAAATAAATTTTATGAATTAAAAAAAAAAAAAGTTTTTTTTGTTCTCATTCGATGAATTTAAACGTAAAAAAAAAAAAAAAAATTAAATTTTTAAACGTGTCGTAATTAACTCGTTACAAATAAAGAATCAATCAATAAAAGACATTTCACGTTAAGTTTATTTATTTATTTATTTATTTATTCGAACTCGAATTCCAATTCGAAAAATTTGATCACCCGTAATAAAAAAAAAAGAAAAAAAAATTGAGAAATGAATAATTCAATTCAATTTAATGTTTTACAAACGATTATTTCGAATGAACCGAGTGAATGCGTGCGTGTGCGTGTGCGTGCGTGAGTGCGTTTATTCGTTCACAAAAAACCAAAAAACAATTCAGTCGTTGAAATTATTAAATAAAATTTTAAAATAACGTATCGATCCGAATCAATTTTAATTCATGAAAAAACTTTCATACTCTCAGGTTTTCATAAACTCAACGACGACCAGGTGAAACAAAAAAAAATCCGGGCGGGGGGGGCTTTGGGTGAGTTGTTTCACTATGTAAAAGTTTAATATTAACATTCAAAAAAAAAACCTCAAGGAAATTCCCAAACGAGTAATAAAATAAATAATTTTAAAATAGTTTCCCTTCGGAAAAAAACAGGAAAAAAAAACAGAAAAAAAGATGGCGAATAAAAGTAATTTTTTTTAGTTTAAAAAATTCGATTATATTAAACAACGTCGGACGACGACGATAACGATGACGTCATTTTAAACAAAAATTTTTAATCAAAGTTAAACTTTAATTACGTATTATTATTATTATTATTATTATTATTATTATTATTATTATTATTATTATTATTATTATTATTACTACGTTCAAAAAAAAAAAATTATTAAAATCCCTTTAAGGTAATACAGTATAGAACAGCAATGCAAGTTTTCACAGGGTGAAAATTTTTATTTTTTTCTTCGGGAAAGAGGAAAGAGAGGGAGGGAGAGGGAGTGGAAAAGGGAAAATTTTAATAAACCCAATAGGCTCTTCTTTTGAAATTTTATGAATTTCAGCTTTTCCCCTTCCCTTCCCCCTCCCCTTTCCTTATCCCATCAATTTTGGTTTGAAAATTCGATGTCAAAATCATTTGTATAACAGGGTTAAAAAAAAAAAAATTTTTTTTTTTTTTTCATTAATGAGAAGAATTTTCTTCCGCCCTTATGACGTCAGGAAAATGCCAATTTTGTCGTCGTCTTCGTTGTTTTTGTCGGCGTAAATTTTTTCCTTTTTTTTTTCTTTCAGACCGCCTACTTTACAGTTGTTTTCATTCCGTCGCCTTTAAGTCTTGTTATTTTATTATTATTATTATTATTATTATTACTATTATATATATTTTTTTTTTTTCGGAAACACTTACAAAATAAAATAAAAATTTCCTTTCCTTTTTGTTTTTGTTTTTTTTTGTTTTTGTTTGTTTTTGGTTGCGCGTGTTTCGAAATCGATCAACACGAGCCAAATGTTGTAAAAAAAAAAAATTTTCGTTCGTAATTATTATTATTATTTGTTTGAAAAGGTAATTCGTCGTCGTCGTCGTTGTATGTGACCTTTCCTCAATTAAATAATCCACCGTGTACCGTCGCTCCTCTCTCCCTCACACCCTAGTCCTTCCCGTCGTCCCTTTTTGTTTAAAAAACAAAAATTTAATAACGTATGCATGAGTTTCCGGAAAGTTTTTTTTTGTTTAATGAAAATTATCCCCGAAACGACTTTTAAAAAAAATTTTGAGGTTAAAACATGGTTAAAAAAAAGTTAGATCGATGAAGTTTAATGATTTGAAAAATTTTAACGTTTTGTACGTTCCGGAGAACGGTCAGAACCGTATTCAGGAAAGAATGAGAAACCGCAGGCGGGGAAAAAAAATAAAAAAGAATTTTTCCCGCCAAATTGAATTCAATTCGTACGGAATGAAATCATCGTTTCATTCGTTTCATCGTATTTTTTTTTCAAATAAACAAAAATGGCAACAGCCACAACAACAACAACAACAACAATAACAATAACAAACAAACGGCACAAAAAAAATAATAATAAAAAATTTATTTTAACGAGTTTTAAAAATAATTATTGATTTCGTTGTGTTTAATCGAATCGAAAAAAAAAGGTTCTTTTGGGCCGGGTTTTTTTTCCGCCCTTTTTTAACTCTCCTCTCCTCTCCGCCCCTACCCTCCATCTCGAGTATAAAATCCTTTCTTTTCTCCCACCACTTCCCTTCTCCCTCTCCCCACTTATCAAAAAAAAAATAATAATAATATTAAACATTTTCCGATTTTTTCGTTACAAAAAAAAGAAAATTTTTCTAAATGATAAAAAAAAAAATTATTATTATTATAAAAATTTTCCATCGGTTTTTTATTTGTTTGTTTGTTCGTTCGTTTGTTTTACCGAATCGATATTACCCCCCTCCCCCCAATTCCTTTCCATTACACGAAAATTCCTCTTCTTTTCCGTTTGTTATCCTTTGTTGTTTTGTTTTTAACGAATGAAATTTTTTTTTTTTTAATTAATAATTCGTTAGTGGCGTATCGTCAAAAAAAAAATTCTTTTTTTTTTTTGCGTGGGGGTGGGATGAAAGCGCGATGATGTTGAGGAGGAAGAGGAGGAGGGAAGGAGGGAAAAGAGGAGGCGCAGAAGGAATCGGATGTAGTTAAAAATTGGAATAGAACGAGAGAAAAAACGATGACATTTGGCGCTGTGTGCAAAAAAAAAAAAAAAAAAAAAAAAAAAAATGAAAACTTTTCTTTTAATGACTGCAATATACTATTTTTTTTTCTTTCTTTTTTTCTTTCATTAAATATTATTTAGCGTTATTTAAATAAAACTGTCAGAACAAAAATTAAATAATAAAAAAAAAAAAGAAAACCTGGCAGAGGTTCCCTTTAATTTTTTCTTCTTTTTTTTGTAAATCCCCCAAAGTTTTTTTCTTTTTTTTTTTTTTTGCGAAACCCCATTTAGAGCCAGAAGAAATAAATGGGAAGGGGAGAGGGGAGGGAATAGGGAGAGAGGGGGAAACACACGCGACATTTGTTTAACTCTCTCTCTCTTTCTCTCGTCTAAATTTCATAAAGTTTTATTTATTTTCTTGCCAAAAATTGCCAAATATTTCTTTTTTTTTCCTTTTCTTTTCCTTTTTCTTATTCTTACCGAAAACTTTTTTTTTTTTTTTAAATTATTTTCTCAAAGGAAAATAATAATAATAATAATAATAATAATAATAATAACGTTGTAACCGTTCATGTAACTGCGGTAATAAATAAAAAAAAAAAAATTCCGGGATATTTTCTCTTAAGTCGTCATAATTTATATGTGTATAATATAATACACATATAATACGCATGCACACATATAAAAAAAAATTTTCTTTTTTTTTTTTTTCTTTCAAAGCGAAAACGTCCCGTGACTCTTTTTTTTCTTTCTTTTTTTCTTTTTTTTGCAACAAAAAGCTCCCGATTTTATCGAAAAAAGAAAGGGAGAGAAAATAAACGACAAAATAAATAAATAAATTTTTTAAACGCTTCCCCATTTTATATAAAAATAAATAAATAAATTTACTAGCTTACAAGGCAGTCAGTCAGTCAAAGGAAAAATTTTTCCATTTTTCCTTTTTTTTGTAACGCCGTCGCGTTAGAAAAGGAACGAAATTAAAAAAAAAAAAAAAATTTCATAAGTGACACCCTAAAGTAAAAAACAAAAAAAAAAAAAATATATTTTTTTTAAATTTTTAATTTTATTTTCACGAGAAAAAAAAAAGACGTATTAAAAGTTAATTGAATTTTTTGCTTTTAAAGAAAAAAAAAAAAATTACTCTCAAAACTTATTATTAATAATACGTAATTTTTTTTCATTTTTTTTTAATTATTTTAAATAAAAAAAAAATTTTCAAAAATGGCGTCGAGGAAAATTTTTTTTCCTTTAAACGTTTTCAAATTATTATAAAATAAAAAAAAAATTTTTTTTTTTTTTTGTAATATTTTTTTAATCCATCAATTAAATTTGACGTGGAATTTGACACCAGTTTCAAAGCTCCAACTCAAACTCCGACTCCAGCTCCAGTTCCAGCTCCAGCTCCAGCCTTTAGCTCATAATATAAATAAAAATAAAATAATAATGGGAAATTTTTTTTTTTTTTTTACTTTAATTAAACCAAAAAAAAAAAAAAAAACGGAAAAAAATGGAGTTAATTACACAAAAACTGAATTAATTTTTTTTTTAAATATTTTTTTTCAAAACGAGTAATTAGGAATCGCCCTTCTACCCCACAGTTAAAATTATATATTATTATTATTATTATTATTATTATTATTATCGAAGAGATTTAAATTTCAAAAAAATTACAGTCGTAAAATTAAAATCCAACAATAAAATCTGTGTAACCACGCGAAAGTGTATAATGGAAATGACACAAGATACCGGATTACGATTGTCAAAATTAACAAACAAACACGAACAAATTAAAACAAACAAATAAGAACAACAACAACAACAACAACCGCTTCTTCGAAAAATGAAGTGAATAAAAAAAGAAAAACATATTCGAAGGAAAAACTGATTGAAATGTAAAAAAAAACTTTCTTCCATACACACACACGTTAGATTGAGAACGTGGCAAAATTTGTATTTTTTGGGGAAGGGAGAGAAGGGAGGGGGAAGAAAAATCGATAGAAAATTACATTAACGGACTCGCCGCCACCACCACCTATCACCACTGTTAAATATTCTCATTAAAAAAATCAATCCAGGTAAAAAAAAAAAAAGAAAAAATTCAAAATTCGACGAGGAGAAAAAATTTGTCGCGATTAAAAATGAAAAATAACGACAGGAAAAATAATAATAATAATAATAAATTGATACATTTTTTTCATTGCGCTGAGTGAAATTAATTAAAATTAATGAATTTTCCCTTTCCCCCCTCACTTCCCCCCACACTCATTCACCGACCGATTGATAAAATAAAAACTCTTCCGGTATTAATTAATAATTTTTTTTTTTTTTTCAAATTTCGTTTCTTCAATATTTAATAATAATAATAATCTCACGCGATTTTATTTTTTTTAACGTACACGAAAGGCACAGAAAAACAATTTTTCTTTTTTTAGGAAAAAAAAAATTTTTTTCAGGGGGGAGGGGGAGTCAAAAAAAAGAAAAAAAGAAAAAAATTTTCGCTACGATCAGGTTTCAATTTAAAGTAAAGTATCGACAATTTTCCAAACGACTTTTCTTTTTTTTTTTAATCTTATTCACTTTTTTCTCTTCTTTTTCTTCGGCTCCTTTCGGACACTTTCGACCTGTCTCGGATTCGAGTGCAAAATTTAAAAACTTTTTTTTTTTTTTACCTTTGAATTAAAAAAATGCCTCCTTCACTTAAAAGTAATTAATTTGATTTCACAAAAAAAATGAAAAAAATGGAAAAAAAACGCTCAAAATAATAATAATAATAATAATAATAATAATAATAATAATAATAATAATAATAATAATAATAATAATAATAATTTTTTTTTTTTTTCCCCGGTGAAAAAAAAAGGAGAGAAAAAAACTCCTGAACTGTGTAGCTCTGTGGAGCGAACGGACTCTGGAAAGCTTTTTTTTTTTTTTTTTTTAAATTTCAAAAAATTTCTGCTACCTTAAAAAAAAAAAAAAAAAAAAAACATTTAAGCCTCGGCGAATTTAAATCGAACGAAAAAACAAAAAAAAAAACGAGAAGGATTAAATTAAGAACCTTTTTTCTTCTTTGGTTTTCCCCCGTTAATAACAAAAAAAAAAAGGCGCGAAAGCATAAAACAAAAAAATGGGGGGGGGGGGGAGACGCGGGCAAAGAAAATGAAAATTTTCCAAAAAGCCAACGTCAACATGTCGTTATATAGTCTTTTTTTTTTTTTTTTTTTTTTAAAGATAAACTAAAAACCGTTGAATAATTTCAGTTTTTGCGGCGGTGGCGGTGAAATGTTTCGATCGTAATAATAATAATAATAATAATAATAATAATAATGATGATGGTAATTTAATAAGGGAGTCAAAAACTTTGAAAGATGAAAAACCAAAAAAAAACAAAAATTGTAATTTTTTGATTATGAATCCGACTGGAAAATTTTCACGTCGAACTGTTTTCCATTTCAGCCGGGATGATCGAAAAGGAAAACCAAACTTTTGCGTTTTCGCCGGAAAATATCAATTAGATGCGATATCAAAACGTATCGTGACGTAATAAAACCTTTTGTGCGGTTTGAAAAAACAATCAAACGCGTGGGTAAGATTGACGAAAACGTCAGGTATCGATCGAGAATC